TTTGTTAATTTTAAATCACAGTTTTAACGATGAGCTCTCTAAATAAGCTGAATCTTTTCTTGCCATTCTTGTCCCTAGTATGAAAATTTAGTAAGCTTATCTAAATGTGGTCCAAAAAGTTCATTTAAGATACAAAAATTTTTATAAAATGAAAAAAAAACCCATTATTTAAATACAAAGCATTTACCATAAGAGTAACTCAATTCATAGATACAGGCCATTTTTTCCTAATATATGAGGAACATCTCAAAATCAATGATCAAATACCAAGACTCCCAACAGGATGAATAAAAGATAAATAGTATATTTAAAAAGAAACATATGGGGGCTAGAAAAATGACTCGGCAGTTAAGAAAAATGATTTGCTATTCTTGCAGAGGCCTGGGGTTTGGGTCTCAGTACCCAAATAGTGATTAACAACTATCCCAAACTCCAGTTCCAGGGGATCCCTCTTCTGGCTTCCACAAGCACACCATGCACATGGTGCACTTATAAACATGCGAGCAGAACACTCATACACATAAAAATAAAATAAATGTTAAAAAACTGAATTGAAAAGAAACATGGACTGGGGATGCAGCTCCGTTTGGTAGTGTTTGCTTAGCATTCATGAAGCTCTAGGTTTGATCTCTAGCACCAGATAAACCAGGCATAGTGGTACACGCCTATAATCCTAGCACGGTGGGGGGTGTATCTGTGCGCAGGAGGATCAAGTTCAAAGTCATTCTCAGCTAAAAAAAAAGTGAATTCTATGCCAGCTGAGGCTACATGAGATCCTATCTATCTGTTTAAATGGAGGAGGAGGAGGGGTAAATCTCAAGCATATGGAAAGATGATCTTACTATATTAAAAGAACATGGTCAGGAAACAGCTCAGCAGTTTAAAAAGGAACTTGCCCTGCAATCTGGTGACCTGAGTTGGATCCATGGAACTCATGTACAGGTGAAAAAGGAGACCTGGCTTCACAAGTTTGCCCTCTAATCTCCACATGCATGCTGTGGCACATGCATCCACATAAAAACTGTGCACACACACAATCCAAAAAAAAAAAAAAAAAAACTTTTTGGCAGGTCTGGTGGTGGTGCATGTGTTTAGGCTCAGCACTCAGGAGGCAAAGAGATAGGGGGAATCCCTGTGAGATTATGCCCAGTCTGGTATACATAGCAATTTCCAGGTCACCTGGAGCTTCTAGGGAGACTGTCCTTAAAAAGAAAAAAAAAAGTGTCAATTAACACTGCCCTGGGATTTGTATTTTTACCCATCAGAGTGATGATAAACACTTGAGAACAATCTTTTTTATCTTTACGTTTTTTTTTTGAAACACAGTCTCACTATGTAGCCCTAGTTGGCCTTGATCTCCAGAGATCTGCCTGCCTCTGCCTCCTGAGTGCTCGAAATAAAGGTGTATGCCACCATACCTGGTGAGAACATAATCTTGAACACATTGGAGAAATTTCATTTCTGGTCATGGTACAGACTAAACAACCTATCTATTAAAATTTTCATCTTTGAAGAACTCCTTGTAAAGCTTTTTTTTAAATGCAGCATACCAGATCTACTTTTGTAGAATTTTCTTTACATAAAGAAGCAGAGAGGGAGATAACTTTAAGAAACTTGAATGATGAATACAATAAATAGTCTTATTCCACTACTACTTTCTCATAATACCTCACTGTACATTTAGTGGCTATTCCCTAAATGTATGTTGGGTGACTGGGACAGGGAAAGATAGGAATAGAATAAAAACAAATAAGTTAATTCCTTGAATTAACTAAATTTATCTGAATCATCAAATATATTGTTTATATAAATATCTCTGGCTGGTGGTATAACTCAGTAATAGAACATCTGTCTAACACATACAGAGTTTAATTTCTAGCATCATTAAAACAAAACAATAAAAAGTATCACTTATTTAACAAAGGAGCAATGTCATACTGGCAAATGTGTCCTTTGGAAAAATGAGTCAGCAACAGTAGTATAGATTATAATAACAATGACCCCTAATTAGCCCTATACCCTTAACAAACTCCTTCCATACAATGTGATTTTTTTGGCCCATGAAATGAGATAACTTATGAGGCTTTCTTTCACTTGCTGTTCCTATAAACTCTGGTATTACCTTCAGGTGATAAGAGTCATGGCTAGCCGGCTGGAGACACAGGGCCTTATATTACGGTAGCTAACAGCCATTACCAAATTCTAGACCTACATGTAAAATTATGCTAGTCCAACCACCTCCCAGGCTGATGACAAGCATATAAACAAGCCCACAGAGAAGCAGTAACAGAGATGCTTAACTAAGTGAAGCCCAGAATCATAGGTTAATATAGCTACTGCTATACAACAATAAGCTTTGGAGAGGCTTGTTGTACATCAGTTTATAAAAGGCGGCAGGAAAATAAGATTGGTGGTCAAAGAAATTTTTGTGTTATCTTTTCTGTTTTTTAAATTTCACAGTACAAACAGTTATTCCCAGTATCTATGGGGAACTGATTCCAGGATCGCCATCCTTCTACCTCAGACACTCAAGTTTTTTTACATAAAATGGAGTAGTATTTGCACATATCCTATTTATATCATCCCATGTATTTAAAATAATCTCTAGGTTACTTATAATATCAAATACAATATAAATGCTACGTAAAGAGTTGCTATGCTCTATTATTAAGAAAACAGTAACAAGAAAAAAACAAGTCTGTACATATACAGCACCAATGCAATCGGGGTTTTTTTTCCCTCAAATACTTTCCAACTGAGGTTGGTTGAATCTTTGGATACAGAACCTACAAATCTAAAGGACTGACTGTAGATTCACATACTATTTGCTTAATTATACTAAATTTATAAAGGTATTGTCTGTTTCAAAGTAAAGACCAATTACCTTATAAATACACATACACAAAATAATTCAGTCTGAATGAGAGCAGGAAGCTGACAATAGACATTAACATTGCTTAGGGAAAAAATGGGTCAGTATGGACAACTTAGGTACTATCACAAAAACAGTGACTAAGAATATGGTCATGGTAAACTGCCACAAATCAATAAATGGCCATTACTGTACTCTGAGAAATCTCAGACTTTGCTTTTCTGTTTTTTTTATTTAGATGAATAAGAGCCTGAGACATATACTCTCATTTAAGTCTCACACGCTATCAGGTAAGCAATTACAGGTGATATAACTTATGTGAAAGCTAATTAGCCTCTCCATACTTCATTTCCTCAAGTGTAAACTGGAGAAAATAGCATTTTTTTTTATAGTTGGAAAGCCTCAATCACTTGGATCAAGATACATTGTAAAGACTGATAAATGGTCCACTCTTGTTATAAATGATACAAAATTAAAGTGTCTAACATATAGTGTCTATTTTAAAAACTTTAAGCTTAATCAGCCAAAATGTGATATATCAAAATTAACTTGAATGTCTTTCTGACTTTGAAAAAAAAAAATTAAAAGACATCATTTGTTTTAAAACCCTGGGACAGCTGGGTGTGGTGGCACACACACTCAGGAAACAGAGGCCGGCTTATCTCTGTGACATCAAAGCCAACCTGGTCTACACAGCAAGTTCCAGGCCAGCTGGGGTTATGGTGTAGCCAGTTGAAGCTCTGTGGAACAATGAATCATTTGGCCTATAGTCCACAATCTTAAATGGGTTTGAAAACCAGAGGCTTCATTTTTATGTGCATTAAATTCACGAAAAGCGGGGACTGGAGAAATGGCTCAGCTGTTAAGAGCACTGACCTAGGTTTGATTCCCAGTACCCATGTGGTAGCTAACAACTGCCTGTAACTCTAGTTCCAGGGAATCTAACACCCTCCTCTGACCTCCGCAGGCACTGCACAACAAGCATGCCTTATACACATGCAGGCAATACACTCATACACATTAAATATAAAAAAAAAAAATTTTAAGACTAAATTCACAAAAAGCAAAAACAAGCATAGCAATTGACCCCTTTATTGTGACATTTGGCATATGCTTTCAAAATGCTCTAACACACACACACAAGCGTACGTCTTTGGAAGATAAGGCTCCTCCCAAACAAATACATTTATCCTGATCTTCAGTACTGGAAAGCCATAGTTACTCCTTGATCAATGGCGAATCACTGCTATTTTACAAGCAAAGATCAGATCTGGACATTTCCCTGTCAATATACAGCAATAGTTTTTAAAAAGTTATGCCTAGATTACAAATAACTATAGTTACTCCTTGATCAATGGTTTATCACTGCCACTTTTCAAGGAACTGGATCAGAACTGAAAATTTCCCTGCCTATATAGAGCCTAGATAAGGTGATATAAAACTTGGCCAATTTTTTAAAAAGTGTTTTAAAGAGGCAATTATCTCACCTGTAGACATGAGTCACTAACCAGTTATAAAAAGCCTTACCCCACAATGTTCAGGTAATGTACTTTATACAAATGTGAGGAATACATAAACACTACATAAACTACATTTTTAATTTCAATTCAAACATTTTAAAAAGGCACTTAGTTCATGTAAGGTAACAAGGCAGAGTCTATAGATAGAAGTGTTAAAAAATAAGAACATTTATGCTACTATATGTGGCAGACATTTGTTGGTTATTTTACTCAGTCATAGTAATCCTGTGAGGTAGAAAGTGTTAAAACTCATTTCACAGTGAAGAAAATTAAGGCACATAGAAGTTACTTGGCCAGAGTATGTTAGCATATCCTGAAGGCAATAGGAAGGAGAAGTATTGGGGGTGAGGGGATACCTGAGGTTAGTACCATATGACTATTTCTACAAACAATACTCAATGCAGTAAGTACTTTAATAAGTAAGCCTTATGGAAAAGGGCTGGGCCTTATGAAACCAAGGAGACAAACTTTAGGGAGTGGTCAAAGGAATCAGAGGCTAAACGAGCTCAATAACGAGTTGTCACTGTTAAGGATGAGTACCAACTTCAATGCCACGGTTCACCCCACCCCTTTCACCCCCAATATATTAACCAAAATAAATTACTTACTTGAAATTGAGAAAAACAATTTTGAGAGTAATCTTCCTCAGATATATTATTCCATAGTTTTAAAACAAATAATAGATGACAGTTTAATTTTTAGGTTGCTTTTATGTGGCTTGTCTTGGTTTTTACTCTGAAATGAAATTTAGATTAGTCATTTTCTTGTTCTGAGAAACTAGGAGTATGCCAACATGTTTTAACTTTACATTCTTTCACACAGCAACATGTATTCTTACAAAGTTTTCTATTTCACAACTTAAACAAAATCTAATACATATATAAATTACTTTGGAGTATAAATATATGTATATGCAAAATAAAATACTTCTTTTAATTCTTGTATTTCTTGGCAATTATAAGGAGTGTAAGAAAAACAGAAAACTTTTACAAACTGTTATATCTCAAAACAAGGCTTTTTTGAGGTAACACTTTTATTTTTTAATATAGTATATGTTCTCTGAACCCAAAGAAAATTAAATAATTGCTCCCAGGGAAATTGACTTCAAATTCTTAATATTTCCCAGAACTACCATCTAAAAATAAAATAGAATTGGCCAGAAAAAATATATGTAAAGTACTTTCCATTGACAATTACTATTCATTTTTCTCAGAATTCAGTTTGGCTAGGCATATATTCAATTTCTGCTGCAGAAAACAGTCCAGTTTCCCAATACTAATTAGCAACAAAAGTTTTCATTCAAAAAAGAAATATTTTAAAATGTACAGGAACTAGAAGAAACACACAAGATCACCTGGAAATTTTCAAAAAGAAAAAAAAAAGGTTAAAAAATTGTAATTAAGTTTCTTGGTTTTACTTATCATTTGTTTTGGTTCCCAAAATGTACCTACAAGTTTAGATAGTGGATGTTTTCTAATTGCTTAAGATACCCATTCCTTGTTATTTATATTTACATGGCAATTACAAGTTAACATAATTGTATTCAAAGTTCACTGTATCTTTACTCCCATTATTTTCTCTTTATTATTTTATTATTCCTATCACTGTGGTGTTAAGATAACAACTAGGTACCAAAGTGACACACTCCACAGATCATTGTTTATAAATACTTCTTTGACATATCTAACGCTAATTAATAGCAACCCACCCTATTTAAACACCATGTACTTAACTTCAATCATTTTCTGCTTATATTAATTACAACTGAATGAATTCTAATCCAATCAAAAAACAAAGGAAAATCTTACAGCAAAGGAACCTCCAAAGACTAATACATTTTTTAAAAATTTGTACAATTCTAGCACTAATTTTTTCACAAATCTGTGTGCCATCCTTGTGCAGGGCCATGCTAATCTCTGTATCATTCTAATGTTTTAGTACATATGCTGCCTAAGTAAGCACTTTATTATACTTAAAGAACATAGCTACAATCATCACATACAAAAAAAAAAATCTTGCTAGAACCTATTCTGCACTTAGATTCTAACCTTTACTAGATACAGTAGGCCTTTAAAGACTTCTTAATTATTTGGGGCTGGAGAGAGGGCTTAGTGGTTAAGAGCATTCACTGGCTGCTCATGCAGAGGACCCTGTTTTGATTCCCAGTACCCATATGGTGGCTAACAACTGTTGGTAACTCCAGTTCCAGGGGATCTGACACCCTCTTGTGACCTCTGAAGGTACCGCACAACAAGAGTGAACTTACATACATGCAGGCAATACACTAATACACATAAAATAAATAATAAAATATTTTTTAAAGGTTCCTAAACTCTGCACATGAAATTCTTTTAGAAATTTCTCTAATGTTTTGTTTTCAACATTCAGTTTTCATCAATATCACCCTATATATCCCTCAAATTTGAGAGGAAGGGTAAAAGTGGAGCAATGAAAGCTGACAGTTCAAGTTTTCAAATTCAGCCCCAAATCAATCAACAATTGGACAAAGCCAAATCCCTGAAACTACCTATCTATATAATTT